GACTATTTATGCTATAAATGTACATAATAATTATTTAAAATACTGTTTAGCCCTATGCTTAATTTTGATAATATGTTTTGAGTTTTTTTAAAAATTATTTTATGTATAAGTATCAGTTAATATACAAATATACCTTATAAATATTATAATTACTATTTAAATTTAATTTCAAATTAATTGCTGTTATTGCTGCCTTTATATCTTTCAGACTCCATAATATATTAAAAAAAGAAAAATGGCGTTATTAGTTAGCAAGAAAACCAGAAAATCGATTAACGCCAAACTAAGTGAGTATCTTGGAGGTCCTAGAAAATTCCTCCAAACTGAATTTCCAATCTTACGTGACTGTTTACAGCGTTGTCTGGATCTGCAGCGAGACAGAATACTAGTCTATGAAAAAGATCAGCGTAATTTATCAATGCAAGAAATTTTTTCTAATGTTGCTTATGAGGTTGCAGAACGATGGCTTATTTCCAACACAGAATTTAAAGAACCCATAGCTTGAGGAGCAAAAGGAATAACACTAAGACTCAGTAGAAGTTGGTCTGCATTCTCTAAGATAGCTCGAAACAAATCTCAAAAATCTTACATAAAACACTGGGAGCCTAAGCTTGATAAACTTTTAGATATTGGTCTTTGCAAATGCAGAATTGTTTACTGCAGTGAGAATGATCCCCCTTGCAAAGAATCTTGTGATAGCGGTGCTCATTGCCTTTGCAAATGTGACTTAAATTTAAGAATTCCTCAAAAAGAGCTTATTTGGATAAAAAACCAGCAAGAAAAACAAGGCAGTATTTCATCTATGCAAGAATTTGGTTTGGATGTTAAAGAGACTGCCAAACTTAGGTAAAAACACTTACGCAAGTCAATCGATCAAGCAAGACTCGCACGACAACGAGAAGAAGCTTCAAAATCTAAGTTAGAGTCATTAGAGACAACTTATCCACCGGCAGTTAGATTTGATGTTGAAAATGTGGATGTTACAATAGAACTGCGTAATAATTCAAATGATGTGATAGTCAGTGATAGTGAAAAAGTCAGTGATATCGATAAAGTTAGTGACAGTGATATAGTCAGTGATAGCAAAGAGGACTCGACCATAGAAAAGCAAGATAATTATGTTAAGCGAAACTACCTTGATATTAGTAATGCTGCCGTTGCTTCTGTTAGATTTGGTGTATTATCGACTGCTACTGCTGCAATCATTAATGGTCAACTGAAAGATATTATGAAAGCAGGGAAACTTGTTGAAGATAAAAAAAATCTTATATGTGATAGGATGAAAGTTTTTCGTGCCAGAGAGCGTGCTATGAAGTATTCCAGAATAGAAGAAAATTTCGACTGTGAAAGAAATATAATCACTGGAATTTTTGTTGATGGTAGAAAAGACAAAACTTTAATTCTTATCCATGATAAAACCACAGGCACCTTCAGAAAAAAAATTATCAAAGAAAATCATATAACTGTGACAGAAGAATCTAGAGGTCGTTACCTTACTCATTATACACCAAAGCCTAAGTCAGAAACATCTAAACCAGCCAAGCAATGTGCTATTGGATTATTCAACTGGTTAATGGAAAGAGGTAAAGATCTTAATCTCCAACTAATTGGCAGTGATACTACAAATGAAATATCTGGATGGAAAGGTGGAATGATTCATTTTGTGGAAGAACTTCTCAATCGAAAACTTTTTAGATCTTTTTGCTGGCTTCACATTAATGAGCTTCCATTCCGTCATATTGTTGAAAAACTTGATGGACCAACTTCTTCAGATAAAGGATGGTGTGGAGCAGTAGGTAAACTATTTTCCAAAGTTGATAGTCTTGAAAGAATTACTCAATTTACTCCTATTTTGCTTCTGGAGCCTCTTGTTAATATCAGTGAAGATTTCTTAAAGCAAATGAGCACTGACAGTTTAGTTGCATGGAAGTACTTGAATGCAATTCTGAAAGAAAAGCTTGATCCTGAAGTAGAAGCTCTTAAATGTGGTAGATTGTCTCACAGTCGATGGCTTACTTGTGGCATGAGATGCTTGCTTCTCTATATGAGTAAGCATGATCTTGAACCTGTTAATGCAGAGATTTTAAGACTGCTTGCAACTTGGGTGACTCAGGTTTATCTTCCAATGTTCTTAGAGATTAAAGTAAAGCATGACATTAAATACGGTTCTTGTCATCTTTTAAAGCTGTTTCGACTTTGGCAGAAGCAAGATGATAGGATTAAAGAAGCATCTAAACTTTATCTCAGAAATGAATCTTGGTGGGCTCATCCTGAGAATATACTTGTCTCGCTTCTCTGTTCTGATAACTCAGAACAAAGGTTATTTGCAGTCGACACAATATTGGCCGTTAGGAAGGGAAGTGAGCTGGGCTCAAATGATGCTAGACCTTTTAAAGTTCCACAAACAATAAACCTTGATGCATGTGACATTAAAGAACTTATTGATTGGAAAAAAGAGGTTTTACTGAACCAATTTTCACTACAAACATGTCGTTAGTCCAACTCAATGCATTGATAGTTTCTCCCCTGCAGCTACCTCCATACTCATTACATACTCAAAGTTGCGAGAGAGTAGTCAAATTAGTCACAGAAGCAGCTGAGTCAGTCTGTGGTTGGGATAAAAGAGATGGTTTTATAAGAACACAATTGCGAAATCGTGAACTAATGCCTTTGTTTAAGTCAAAAAAAGACTTTCAGTAGCTTATTTAATTACTAATTTGGTATTTTTTGATTTTATTTAAACTTTGTTGTGCATAACATTAAATGTTTGAAAAAATTCTTGTTTTTTATGTTGATCTTAAAAGAATGTTAGGGGGCTGAAAAAAAAATTTGTAGCAAAAAAACAACAGCAAGATTTTTAATTTAAACGGGTATTTTGAGTAAGTTTGAGGGAGAATCCAGTGTGTGGGAATATATATATATATATATATATATATATATATATATATATATATATATATATATATATATATATATATATATATATATATATATATATATATATATATATATATTTATATATATATATATATTTATATATATATAATAATTGTAATATACCTTGATCTTATAATCATAATAAAACTATCAAGTATTGAAAAAAAGGGGGGAGGGGAGCCGTAGCCCTTTTTACGCACTCTGGATCTAGAAACCTGGAAGTTAAATAATAATTATATCTGTTTTATTTCACATAGTTTACTTTTTACCTAATATAATTGTAATTTTTAGTATTAATTGACTAAAACCTTTCCAAAATTAAGCTTTAGTTAAAATAGACTATTTTTTGAAAAAAAACCCTAATTTTAAAACCCGTTTCCCGGTAGCTAGACATCAATATTTTGTAAAAATATTATTATATTTGAATTCCCTATATCCAAATACATAGGAATCCAAGTGTGCTAGTCAAAATTCTAAAAATTTAATTTTTGACTCTAGTATGATATACCCTATTCCATAATAAACTTTTTTCCAACGGAAATTTCCGTGTTTCAAAAAAGAAGGAAAATTTCCGTTCAATTTTGTTAAATGGGTAGTTTCCGTACAAATAACGGAAAATAATTCCGTAAAAGTACGGGAATTTTAATTAACTTTATTTGAATAAAAAAAATTTATTCCATTCTACACTGACATTCGGGGAGAATGAAATAAGCAAGTATAAGTGTAGTTAAAACAAGGCTTTATTAAAAAAATAAAAAGCAACCAATAATAACAATCAAAAAATCAATCAAATAAAATAAACTTTTTTTACTCTTGCAATGATGTTGAGTCGTTTAGAGGTACAGAGCTTGAGTTGAGTTTTCACTTGTGCTGAACTTTTTGGTGCAATAAAACTTAACGCCTTTTACGTATCGCTTCAGTATGCATGTTTGACACACCCAATATAGTACATGCTTTATGCTACTAATGCTACTATAATGCTTTATGATAAACAGTTTTAAAGAAAACGTTCTGTAAATTGTAAAAGCTGGACCATGGTCCAGCTTTTACAATTTACAGAACATTTATAAAGCAAGTAAAACATAAAAGTAAGTAAAACTTTTCGTCCACTGATACTATTTACATCTGTTAAAGATACATCTATTTTAAGTTGCATTTGTTAAAGTTCTAAATATTCCTGGAGTATTCTGCACATTCCAAAATTTTTTAACAAATATCATGCAGACATCTTGTGACATTTTGTAATTTTTGAGTAATAATTTTTCAAATTGTATTGGTTTAATAGCTAGAAAGCTTAGACCTATGTGCAAAATTTTGTAAATGGCATTCTTTATAGTAAAGGTATAATGATTTGTTTTTTTATGATATGCAAAAATAAACTACTGAAAGTTAAAATACATTTATTTTTTTTACATTATTTAATAAGAAAAATCTGCTATTTTTTAGATTTTATTGCTGCCAATTTGTTTGCTAAAAGTGTACTTAAAATTTTTTATATCCGTTATCTTAGATTATCTGCGTTTAATTACTAATTAAAAAAGATCATTCAACCTTAATTTCATCATACTATTTCTTTTATACATTACTATTTCTTTTATATATTACTATTTTTTTTATAGTCTTTTATCAACTTGCTAAATGATTTTTAGAAAAATAACTTTTAGAAATAACCGTTTCAAAAGATCATTTTACTGTTCCTAAGTTGTTTGGTTATTATTCTGTTTACAAAGTCTTTAACAATCTAGGTTTTTAATTCGTATTATAAATCAAATTAGTATGAATAAATTGAGTTTGTAAAAATCATTTTTTTAAAGTTGTCTTTTGAAACTAATAATAATTGTTGATTCAGAAACCCAAAATTTCTTATCTTTTTTGGGTATTTGGATAGAAAAATGTCATAAATCAAATTTATTATTATTGGAGACAAGGTAATTGTATACTCTATTGTACATAATACTCTCTAAGATTTTTGAAAAGGTAGAAAGGGTAGATGTAGGGCAATAGTTACTGATATTGCAACAGTCTCCTTCATTCAAAATCGGAATAACTTTTGCAATTTTTAGACGATCAGGAAAAACTCCTTGGTGGACAGATGATTTATAAACGTTATAAAGAATGTTTTTGAGATGATCAAAACACTCGATAATTATGTCACCAATAATTCCATCAGCTCCGATAGCTTTTTTTTTTGAAGGCGATTTCGAATTCATCAAAAGGTAATTCTGAGTATATTTCTTTAGAACAAAAATATTTTGATACCGTTGTGTAAACAAAACAGATTGGAATCATTAGCAAACAATATTAGATACAATTTTTTAGATGCTAAAAATAAGCCATTTGTATACACTAGAAACAATAATGGTCCTTTGATAGATCCTTGGGTAACCCGGCAATTTATAATTTTTTTTTTTTATTTCATTTATTTTATAGGTTATGCATTGCTTCCTGTTAGTCAAGTAGTCTTTATACCAAAGTAAGCTTAAGTTGCTCACTCCGTAAAATTCTAATTTTATATAAGAATTTCATGATTGACAGTGTCAAATGCTTCGGATAAATCAATGAAAACTTCTAAAGTAAAATAATCTTTACTAAAAGCATCCGATATATGGTTTATTCAATTACCACGTGATCCGTAGAATGATTCTTTAAGACCCAAATTGTTTGTTGTACAAAATATTGTTTGATATTAAATGATTATAAAGCCTATTGCACATAATGCGTTTTAGCATTTTAGAGAAACAAGGTAAGACAGATATAGGTCTGTAGTTTGAAACATTGACATAAGTCTGTGGGCTAAGCATAAATGTTGTTGAATTTTTCTTATCAACCCCCGTCCCCGTTGTCTGTTTTCTTTCCGCAGAAAATTGTATAAAAATATTTAATTTTAATTAGTTTAACACCGCGTTCTCCAAAAGAAAATTATCTAATTTAAACTAATTTATAAGGTCTCGGGGAAAAAACATTTTTTAGTTAAGAGATTTTTTTTATATTTTTTAAGTTTCAAAACCGTTATTTAATAATAGATAGATTACGCAATCTCTTTCAATTATAAATCCAGAAAATCTATTTTATCAATGTAACTTTAATATCTATTACGACTTGAAAAATACAAGTTTTATCTCTCCATACTCGATGTAATGTCAAAGCGTTTATGCATTTTTTTAAACGCTTAATCTTTACTTTTTAATTCATTCAGAAAAATAATGAATAAACAAACAAAACAAAAATTATATATAACATTTGAAATCTTTTTATCAAAAACTATGGATTTAAACGTCAAGTGATTGGTTCAGGTTTACAATAAACAATTCAGGAGCTGTTTGGTCATTTGGTGTAAAATTATACACAGCCTTCCGTTATTTGGGTCAATGTTGACCCTAATTCTGCTTGTTTTAAGTTTGATAAAAACTTATTACAAGTAAATAAGGTCTAATATGTTACAGTAAACAATGTTTAAATTTTTTCTTATGAAAAATTTAGTATTTAAGATCTTTCTGACATTACGCAATAAAAACATTCTAAATTATCTTTGTTCACAATGTTATATTTGCAAAAAGAAAAATTTCATCTAGCTAAAACCAAAAAAATATAATAAATTGCCGGCATATTTCCCGGGTATGGCTGAAGTGAGCCGTCCATTTATTTTTTTTTGAAATATTTAGTATGGGTTAAATTTCAAAACCCTACAAAAATAAACAACAGCAACAAAAAACGCTTCTTAATAGAAAATAAAATTAAAAATTTCTACTTTAAGTTAGGATATGTGATATACCCTTAGTAAGGTACATATTTCTAACTTTTAAGGTGGTATCCAGCGATTAGTTCTATTTTTTTATATTTTACACATAATAAATACCTTTGATGAATTACTAGCATAATAGATAAAAATCTAAAACGTAATGCAATTTTTTTTTTAAATTATTAAAAAATAATTGCTGACTCAGCAAAAAAAGGTGAAAGTGTTAACGTCACAAGAACATAAATATCTTAAGAATACATCAATATTAAAGGTTTAAAATTTTCAAAAAGCTAGTACACTAGTGTAGCTAGTGCCTGAACCAAAATTTTTTAAAAAAATTTAAACGATCGAAAATGGCAGATTTAATGAGATAAAAAACTATTTTTAGCGATAAAACACTAATTAGATATGGTAATTTTAGGTTAAGCTTAACTTTTTAAATTGTTTTTTCAGGTTCAGGCACTAAAAACATCAATAATGAACATATCCTGAAAATTTGAAGCTAAAATGTTTTTTTATTGAGATATCATTGTTTTGCTACAGCTACCCGTACAAAAAACAAAAATTGAAAAAAATCAATTTTAAAATTATAAATCATGTATACTACTCAGATAAATCATTAAAAACCACGAGCACAATAATCTTTTGCAGTTTTTTTTATCTAGTTTTTGTCAAAAATAGTTTCTTCTAACAGATCTTAATTTTTTTCTCCTTTTTTTTGTTTCATCTGACATTTTTTTGTTCATATTTTTTAGCCGTATAGAGTTTTTTTTACTTGCACCGATTTCAAAGTAACTACCAGATTTGATATTAGGAGCATCAACTTAGCAAAACCATCATTATAAGTAATGGTTGCAGAGTAAACAGCCATTTCAATAACAACTTTAGAGGTGAATATAGTTATAGGGGATCGGTTCCAAATTAGTTGATTAAATGCTTCATTTCCATTTTAAGTCATTCCATGCAAACATTTTGCAAGCATATCAGTATTTGCTAGATCTTGAAATACTGGCTTGATCTTTTCCATAATGGCAATGGGTAAATTCACCTTTTTCTTGTATGTAACATGACCAGTTGCTCTATCAGACTGCCATTTACACCAGCTTTTTTCACCTTTGGTGCAAAACATATGACGGTATTCTTCAGAGGTAAAATTAGTGCAATGATGAAGCGAAGCTATTACAGAGTTCCTCATTTCCAAAAGAAATGAATTTTTTATTTGAATTTTGTCGAACAGCCATTCCAACATAATTTTTCAAGATGTTAATTACTTTATCCGTAAGTCAACCTTTACCAGATATACCTTTTCCGTCAGATAGTTTTACTCGTCGTAATTCTTTTCTTTTAAGACCCAGTCGATTCCCTGTACGCTATTCTAGTTTTATTGGAACAAGGTCATCACCTTGTTCCAAAAAAACTAGAATGTATTATTATCAAAAGGTTTTTGTGCAATAACTGTGCTAAACGAGGTAGTGTCTCCATCTCCGAGATATTTAGAATAGCGAATGTTATATTTATTTACTAAAGAGCAAAATATTTTTGTTGCACCAGCTGACTCTATCGCACCAGCTGATTTAGTGTGGTTTACTTGGCAGAAATGATTAACTTTCCACTGCTCATATTTGAGTGTTTCTTTTTCCTTACCAAATTTGACATCCTTTACAAAACTTAGACTATGTAACAGTATCCAATACTTTGTTGTTGTCGTGAGACGTTGCTACCACAATACCGTTCAAAGAAGAATACCCTCCCCGCTGCCAGGTACCATCAATAGAAACACCACAATTAATAACATCATTCATATTAGAGTCAGATTTTAGCGTTCTCCTAACTTCCATAGCAGCATTTTTCATACTTTGCTCAGCAACTGATTTATAAGAATCGTAAAGTTTGCTATTAATATAGTCAAAACTAGGTTTTGATAAAGGTGGTGGCATGTTCATTATGGAGGTAAAAGTTAACATTGCATCTCTGCCTCTGCCAATCTCCCTAAATGCCATAACACTGCGTACATTAATTTCACTAGTATTTATACCAGGTTTATTGTTTTTGACAACAGGAGAAGAAAAAAATGCATCTTTAAAAGCACAACCACTGCAATAAATTTGAAAAAACAAAGAAAAACCCAAGTGTCTTGAATGATCATGCAACATGGAAAGCTTTGTACCACATATATTACAAGTAGCATACTTTTCAAAACAACTTTTCATTTGTTTAAAATGCATAAAAAATATAAATTCGTCATTATCAAATAATGTTTTTTCAAGATTATTTTTTAGCTTTTAACTACTTGTAGAACTTCCTGTGTTTATATCAAATTGCTTATTGGTGTTATTGGAATTATTATGCTAATTGGCGTTAAACTTTCTTTTCCTTGGTCTTATTATTCTTTTTTTGTTGGTCATAATATACTTTTCAATAACTTTTTAACTGTAAGATACAAAAATTAAAAGTGTAAAGCACTATTTCATCTGAATTCAAAAGGGTAACAACACGATGTTAAACCGTTAAAAATAGCAATGTAACTTAGATTTATGATATTTACCCCAATATAAATTTAAAAACATTAAAAAAAGAATAGTTACAGGTTGGCATGTCTAGTTTTCAGAGACTAACTTATAGGATAAAACGGTTGCTATGGTCGTTGCTATGTGATATAAAAATACCTTGATGTGTTTGAGAAGAATATTCTTGATATTCTAACAACATTTTTGAAAAAATATTTTTTCTATTAAATTCTACAATGTTCAATTGTATGAATAACGTTTTTTCAAATTTTTCATTTTTTTTTTTATTTTTCACCAAAATAATTGCTGGATACCACCAGGAAAATTATTTAAAAAAAAGATTTGTCACACAGTTATCTACCTTATAGGTATAATTTTCTACCGAAAAAAGGTAAAAAGTTATATTTTACTAAGGGTATATCACATATCCTACCCTAAGATAGAAATTTCAAACTTTTTAAAGTAAGTATTCAAATAAAAGAACTTTTCTTTAAACAAATTTATATTTATTCAAGTTCATTGTGTTCATTTTTGTTGTCGTCATATAGCATTGAATCGATAAAACTTACACATATATATCAAATATTTAAACATAATTTATAATATATGTGTATATATATATATATATATATATATATATATATATATATATATATATATATATATATATATATATATATATATATATATTAGGAATATCATTTAAAATAGATAGAGGCTTATCTATTTTAGATTTCGTGGTATAACCTTATAACTAGAGTGAGTTAAAATATAGTGTTTTCATTACTTTATATTTTATAAATTTTATATCGAGCAATTTAAAAAATAGTGAATATATTTTTAAAATAATATTTTATTTACATCACCTATTTTTATTCAGGCAAACTTCAATTGTTACAAGCTTTATTGTTCGATTACCGTGTAATTTGTACGCAAAATTTACTAAAACTCAAGATACGTATATGACAGGAAACATAATAAAATCGTTAACAAATGCCAACTCATCTGATTGCGCAGTAGCATGCGTTACTAACTCTAATTGCAGTTTAGTTAATTGGAAAGAAGACGAGTTGCTTTGCGAACTAATATCAGGCTCAAGTCCTCAACAGACTGCAAAAAACCTTTGGATGGTTTTACAACCCGACAATACTAACAATCAAATTGTAAGTATTTTTACAGGGAAAAGATTACTACATCTGTCCAACAACTTCCGTGGAGTAGTAAAATAACATCCGCACATTTTTGTGTAAGATCATCCGCTTTTTTTCTTTACTGAATTAACATCTGTGCAACAACATCCGAAATTTCATTGATGTCTAATTACATCTTTAGAAAGATGTAACTACATCCGAGAGTTTTTCTCGATGTGTAACTACATCCGTCTAAAATAATGCATTATTAAATAAAATAAATTTTCGGACGTAGTTACATCCGAAAAAAATCAGATGTGTAATTACATCTGGTTAAAAATAATGCATTATAAAAAAAAAAATTTCGGATGTTACATTTATAAGTTACATATATAATCATTTTATTATATAAGTGCTGCTGCATCGACTGACAAATAGCCTGACTTGCAACGGAGTACTGCTACATCGACTGAGGGTTAGGTTTGGGCAGGCAGTCTATCAAATAAAAAAAAAAAATTATTATGCTTAAAATAATGCATTACAATAATTTTTTTTTGGCGGATGTAGTTACATCCGAAAAAAATCAGATGCCCAACCACATCTGGTTAAAATTATCCATTTAAAAAAAAAATTCTGATGTAGTTACATCCGAAAAATCAACATATGTAGTATGTACATGGATGTTATTATACATCAATGAAATTTGGGATGTTGTTGCACAAATGTTATTATACATCAATGAAATTTGGGTTGTTTTTGCACGGATGTAATTATACATCGATGAAATTTCGGATGTTGTTTCACAGATGATATAATACATGTCAAAAACGGATGTTATTGCCCTGACCCTTTTTACATGTAGATTAAAACTATAAAATCAAATTTAAAGTAAATTCGATTTTTTTGTTGATTTTTTAGTTAAACTAAAAATATATTTAATAATGACGTTTAACAATATATTCCAAGTGAAAATTAATTAATTAGGTCAATATCGCGTCTATATAATTTTAAAAAAGATTCTATTTTATATATATATATATATATATATATATATATATATATATATATATATATATATATATATATATATATATATATATATATATATATATATATATATATATATATATATATATATATATATATATATATATATATATATATATATATATATATATATATATATATATATATATATATATAAATATATTTCGCCGTTTAAATATTGCTAAAATACCAAAATGTATAAATAAATATTTACGTGGCCTGGCCAAAAAGAAGACAATAGTAGTCTTATCACTAAGTCCCGTAGTTTACATCGTATTTTTACATTACAAGCAGTTATTTTATAAGTTAAATTCTTTATAATACCGTTAAAAATTAATTTAAATATAATTTTTATAGTTAATTAACAAAAGCCAAAAAACACAAAAATATATATATTTTTTTGTTATTTAGGTGCCCCAAGAAGACCAAACGGTCTTGTCACAGAGCACCGCGGAAGTGCATTTAATAAGGTTGTTCAAATTAAGGTCAAAAATTTTTTACGACTAGAGTGGAAGTTTATAAGGTGGACAGTTTAAGGGTGGCACACGGCCCAAAATAAACTTTTTTTTTTACCCTTTTTTGACGTTTTTTGACCCGCGTGTGCCACCCTTAAACATTATTAAATTTAAATTTTTTTTTTTTTACATATTTTTACAAGAACCTATATAATAAAATAAAAAGGCACTCTATTTGTATTATTATTTTTCAACACTGAAAAACTTATAGAAAAGTCGCTAAATATTGACAAAAAAAACGATTTTCTTTATTTCAGTGATCGCGGTAGCTTTCGTTGCTGCTTGTGATAAATAACATGTAGACATGGAAAAAACTTCAAAACTACGTATACCTTTACTTATATCAAATTGTGATGCTTTAAAAAAATTCCAGTGATTTGAGCCTGAGATCTAAAAAAACCGTAAAACTTAGCACCCCCCCTACCCTACCCTAATGGTGAGGGCAATAAGTTGCCCAAATTTATACTATTGTTAGTCTGAACTAAATTTACATTTATAGACAGATTTCAAATTTCATTTAATAATATTGTAGCGTTCAAAAGTTATGACCATGTAAAGTTGCCACCCTCCCCAAAAAGAGGAAGTTAAAAGCTCAACGTATAGTTCTATCGTATTTTTATTACAAAATCTAGTTTAATGTATTACATAATTTTTGATGTTAAACTTAGAGATGAATCTAGATGAAGTTGGATTACCACTCCCCTAATAATATAACTTTATTACAAGTTGCAAGTAGAGAAATGGGAACAAATAAAAATAAAATTAATGTAATTTTAAACTTTGATTAAATAACCAACAATCAGCATTTTAAAATACTACTAATTACATTTGATGTTAAATCTTTTTTCTTTGTCCTTTTTTTATTTCTTTTGTAAACATGGTTTAACAAGAACAAATCTTGTCTCTTCTTCTCTTTCGTTGATTTTCCAATCAGCTCTTTTACTAGATTTATGGTCCTCTCTGACGAATCGTTAACCACATCTAAAGATTTAATAGTAGATTCAAACTCAAGATAAAAATCGTTCAACTTCCAAAACTGCGAGGGGATCTTTAGCCACTGCAACTCACCTTTTCCATGTCCCATCTTATCAAAGATTAGCTAAGATTGCTCAGTTATTAGAGAACAAAGAGATGGAGGCTGATCCTGTGAAAAGTCTAGAGAGTGAAGAACCTCTTTATTGACCATAACACTTTCAAGTGGATGCACTATTGGTTTGATGGGAAGTTTATTGTATAATGATGTGGAAATATCTTCTCTGTTTGGGCAATGTTTATCTGCTAATGCAAGCACAACTAAGGCAGGATCAAGGTACCAGCTGTGTCTGTCAAATGATTTTATTGCTAAAGTAGCTCCAAGAAGATTTATATCCATGAACCTCTTCATCTGCCACAGAGCTTTTATATCCTAAAAATATGTTTAACAATATTAGATTACGTCATCAATTGGAAAATTAACTCATCATTTTTTACGCTTATTTCTTATTTATAATGATTCTTTTTAACCTGATATGGCGCAGCAGTTGCCGATGCTGCTCTAAGAAACCATTGAGTGTAAAAGATGCCGACAAACATAGCCATTTTACGAATATCTTCTATATTTTATTCTGATAAACTTGGAATAGCTTCCAATAGTAAATACATTTTAAGATAATACAACGCTTTTGAAATGAATCTTGCATGATGTATTGGACCAGGAATACGAAATTTGCACCTATCTTTTTGAGAAACTACCATCAAAGAAATTTCCGCTAATCCTTGATAATCCTTTCTTGATTTACCATCTTAAAAATAAAGGACTTTTTATATTTATGAATATGATTTATTTTATTATGATTGTGTATACAGATTGTTTAAATTATTTTAAGCAAGCTACTACAAAACTGTAATTAACGTTTTTGTAGATCCTATTATCTATTGCATCTCTGTAGAATTTTTCAGCTTCAAGATGTTGTTTATTTATCCAAGTTCCATTTGGAGTTTCAATCCTCTTCAATGTAACAATGTCTTTTTCAAGATCATTCCAGACAGATTTCAGGTGTTTAAAAAGCTGGTTTTTCTGGACCAGACGTTTTACTACTGGGATATATCTTGTTAAAGTGGGTAATATGTCTTTCCAATATATGATGTCTACAGGCAAGGAAAAGTAGTGACCTTCCCAGCTAATCGGCCATTCTTGTTATAACTCCTTGGTGCTTTCCAGTGTTGGAAGCTGTAGTATCAAAGCATATACACTGTATATGATGACTAAGAACAAAAGAATCTAATAGATTATAAACTGCTTTAAACTGATTTTCCACAGAACCTGACTCAATATGAGGAATACCTAGGAGCTCAGTTTTCCCATTCACTTTCACTAGTGCTGCTAATCTTTCTCTTGTAACTGAAACTTTATCTGTATATTCTTTAAATATTATTTATTTATTTTTTTTAAAACTTTTTTATTTCATCAATCATGATTTGTATGTCATGTCCTAACCAGAATACCTTTTTAGAATATCTTTAACCAGAATATCTTTTATTGCTCCTGGTGTTGATCTGTTTCTTAGCGATTGCAGCTTTTTATATTTCATTACTACAGCCTTGACTTCTTTCCTAAAAATAAGACTTATTAAATAACTGTAAAGCTAATTTAGATTAAGATTTCATAAGTATTACTAACCGTAAAACGCATTGTATGTCACGAGTTCTGTATCCACCAAGTTCTCATGAAACTTTCAGCTTAGATATAACGCAGCAGTTCTCTCCCGAATCTGGACAATTTGGTGTAAATGTAGAACCTTTGTTTGGACAACAAACTAAGTTTTTGAAAGAAGTTGATGGTTTGGACTCACGTAAGTAAAGATAATACTGTATAACTTCTTCTACAGTTGCAAATTGAATAGATGATAGAACCTTTCTAGTTTTTTTAACTAAGAATATTTCTTGGCCTCTACTTTTCATTTTTTTAAGAATTTTCGGCATAATTTTTTTATTTTGCTTTTTATTTTATGTAAATAAATTATAATAAAATTGATTTTTATTTTAAAATAAACACTTTACCAACGTTAATAAGTTTTGTTTAATGATATTAAAATAGCAGATTTTGAACATTGAGTATGATTATTACATTTGAACAATGAGATCATACCGCTGTCATTGAAATAGTTGCGTGTATTGAAAATTCATTAGATTTGAAAAAAAAATTGTTCCTAGGTATTTTTAAAGGACATTTTTTAAGTTTTCAAAAAATAAATTGAGTTAGAGTGCCTTTTTATTTTTTTGTATAGGTCCTTGCAAGAATATGTAAAAAAAAAATAATTTGAATTTAATAATGTTTAAGGGTGGCACACGAGTCGAAAAACGTCAAAAAAAGGATTAAAAAAAAAGTACTTTTGGGCCGTGTGCCACCCTTAAACTTCAAAAAAAAAAAAAAAAAAATCCTATTTATAAAATTTTATAAATAGGATTTTTTTTTTTTTTGAAGTTTAAGGGTGGCACATGCGGCCGTGGCGCAGTGGTAAGAGCGCTTGCTTTATTTTATGTAAATAAATTATAATAAAATTGATTTTTATTTTAAAATAAACACTTTACCAACGTTAATAAGTTTTGTTTAATGATATTAAAATGATATTAAAACCTGAATCTCCTGCTTATAAAGCAAGCGCTCTTACCACTGCGCCACGGCCGCACTAAAATATGACACAACATAATAAAAAACAATAAAAACCTCAAGATGTACAAAAAAAAAAAAAAAAATTAAATGTGAGAGGTGGCTTAAAATAAAAAGTTATAAAAAGAACCATGGGTTAAAGTAATTTATCAACAATTAATAATAGGATTAGGAGTTATTTTGCATAAGAAAAAAAATAAAAAAAATAAAAAAAAAATAATATAAAATAAGATAGAAATAAAGTTAAAAAAAAAAAAAGCACATATATATATATTAAAATTAATAATAAAAAATTTTATTTATCAATTTATTACCAATTTTGTGCATAAAAAGCCAAAAAAGTAATGATAAATGTTTAGTTGTTAAACATTAGTGTATATAGGTTTTGAAAATTATATATAAAAAAAGAAAAGTTTTTTTAAATATTATAAAAATCTTACGCAAAAAAAAATTATAACATTTAAAGATTTTGATTGGACATAATATGCTAACAAAATCATGCTAATTCCAAATAAAAGTATTCAAATATTTTGTAAATCGCCTTAACTACACCGAGTACTGAGTAGTTTTTTTTTTTTTTATTTTGGTTGCGTTTGTGTTGCACCAATAATATTTTTTACTGATTGGAAGGTAATTTCCAGGTTAAAAGGTCTTTCCTTATTTAAATATGACTTTTATGCTTCCTTCTCACCATGCCTCAGAGACCTCGTCGCGTTCTACTGATTTCTTGTAAATTAAATGACCATTCCTTAGACAAGTCTTGCAGAATGTAAGGATTTACTTTGTCGCAACCTTTGGTTTTACTTTTGTCAAGCATTTTGAAGAACGTTTTGATTTCTTTTTAGTTGACATTAATTACGTTGAGTACAGTGTTTGTCTCTTTTTTTCGGCATTTCATTGCATAAATTACTATCGGGTTGGATGAATAAATAAATAACTAAAATGGTTGTCAAGGATATTGCTCTTATTTAATTGTTGTAAGTAGTTTGCATGTTTTAGAGATTGTGTTGTCGTGACTTTTTATTTTTTGTTGATATAAACAATTAACTTTTTGCAGATTATTTTGTCTGTTGCTGGTTTGGATTAATTATTTTTAATGGCTTGACCCCTAATGATTTAATATTTTTGAGATAAAGCAAGGCTTTTTCATACGATTTTTTCCTGCTTTAAGCAAAAGTTTTCTAGCTAAAAATAATCCCTAGTTCGCCTTTTGTGCTGTAGTCAGAAGATTTTTAGGTTACCATAAAGCCAGTAATTACAAAAAAGTTGTGGATGACTTGGGCTTTTTTAAAGACGATTTTAAATAAGTCCGTTTTTTATAGACAATATAAAATAAGTTCGTCTACCTATACGATAAATTAGCTTGCAGCTAAATTTGAATTAATACACACGTTTGCAATTTAATATGGATAATATGACATCAATTGCAATGTAATTGCAAATGCGTGTGTTAAAAAATATGAACAAAGTCTTAACTCGTAAAAGTAGTTATTGTAAAGTTGACACTTTATAAAGAGGTCTTCGGTTAGGTTGCTAAAAGAGTCTAACACTAACAGAAAAATTTATATATTTTATACCAATGTATTTTATCTTATTTATAAATTAGGTTGGTCGAATTTGTGAGCAAGTTAACCCTTGTGATATTACGCAAACATGTCGAGATGTGTGCGATTCTTTAAATAAACACACTTTTTCGTGTCTTTGTAAGTACAATATTCAAGTTGCTTACTTTCAAATTTGAAAACTCTTAACCTGAAGGCTTATATCTCTAAAAATTAACGATATAGAATATCCAAAATGTTGCCACAAAATAGAAAAAAAAATTGCATGGTTTTGCAAAGTTTTAAGTGCATATATATTTTTTGGAAAATTTTTTTTTTTAGTTTTAAAAAATAAAATATATTGCGCAAAATATTAAAATATATTTCATCATAGCAATCATAAATTATTATTATTATTTTAAATTGATTAATTAGTGAAAATTCTTTACATTTTTACTTAATTTAGCATATTGTTATATATCAATAACTTTTCTAGATTAGATACTTTCCATAAGTTTTAAAAATTAGTATACATTATTTAATCATAAATTTTCAAAAAGGCAAGCAATGTACATTATTAAAAAAAAAAAAAAAAAAAAATATTTCAAATATTTAAATTAGATAAATTCTTCTCTCCTTATTGCCTTTTCAAACCATCTTCTCATATTTATATAAAAGGCATTGCACTGTTGACTATAACTGTTATCAGGTGATAAAATATATTCTGGAATTTCTTCAATATTCATATCGGGATTAGCATTTCTTGTGGATTAAAATTGGATTTTAACATTGAAAAGAACTCTTCCATTGGGTTTAATTCAGGGAAGTATGGTACTAAAAGCTTGTAAGTAATATTTTTTTCTTTTAGTACTTGAAGTACTGCAGCTGCTTTATGATATTTAGCATTATCTATTATAAGGATTTTATTTGGATTTACTGCAAAGAATGGTACTAGTTTGTTGTTGATGAAATCAATAAATGATTGTGTATTGAATGCGCCGCTTTTGCATTGGAACTTACTTCCAGAAGAGAAATTAGAATTTAACCAGAAGAGAAATTAGAATTTAAGAAAGAAAATTTAAGAAAAAAATTTAACATATAAACACTCAACTCCTAAATTGGAAATTAAGCACACGAGGCTAACATTCTGTCCTTTATTTACAGGAACTGTCAAGTATACTTTTGTACCTTTTGGAGAATACCACGGAATAAATTATTGTCTGTTCGATGTTTGTATTTATAGAATTTTTAATTTTATACGCTTCTTTTATTTTTTACTGTAGATGACGTGAAGGGTATATTATTATTACTATTTTTTATAACACAACAAGCAGCATTTCGAGTTAAATTACAAGTGTTGGATATTTCCTAGATTGAATATTTTTCACAATTTCTCATTGAAATAATTGTATTTTTAGTTTCTTCTATAATTGTTTTCCGTACTTTTCTTTCCATTGATATTTAAGATATAAGGGTTAAAATTAATTTTACAAATGCACTTATAACTTTGCAAATGAGCACTTATAACTTTACAAAACCCTGTAAATAACAGTTAAAAAATTCCGAGAACACGTGGTAAAATAAAACTGATTTTATGGTTATACGAAACACGAAAAGAAACATGCATACACACATACACATACACATGCACACTAAAAACGACTTTATTTTTAACTTTATAGTAAGTAATGATGCATCAAGAGGCGGTACGGCATCAATATCATCTACATGGGATTCAGTAAACACAGCTGCAAGTAAAGCAATTGACGGCAGTGTAACAACTACTGCAATAACTGGTAATAGCCTGAATGAACATTGGTTTAAGTTGGATTTGAATTATGTATATCAAATTAATCAAATTGTTGTTTACAATCGAATAGAGTACCTTCCAAGTAGAATGAATGGCAATAAACTTATTGTGAATATAAACGATCAATACATAAATGTTCCTGAAATTGCTGTGTTAACTTCCGATTTAAAACAAACAATCACAGGCTCATTTATTGGTAGATATATTTTTATTGTTAGAGATTCCAGTGATTTACTTCAAGTAGCAGAAATTAATGTTTTTGTATAACTTTAGCAGCATATATTTGAGATTTTAAGTTTTTACTTTTTAATATGCAATACATTTTTACCACTTTAATTAATAATATTTAATTTAATTACATGCAATATTTTTTATTACATATGGCATTTTTGCAATGATTTTGTTGTTATCTATTTACGTTTTTAGTAAATAACATTCAGATCAGGTTCGCACTCAGATTGGTGTTTTATTTAAATAAAGGCGAGTATTAGTTAAGGTTAACTAACAATAAATTAGTAGTGATGCGTTTAAAAAATTTAAAATTAATTTATTGTTAAAATTAATATTATTGCTTTAAGAAACATTATTGTTTTAAGAAAGAGTTTCTCAAAACTGTTTTGTTACATACTTAAAAGCAGCAATACACAAATATGCTAGAGTGCAAAGGATTTTATTTTAATTTAAATATGATTAAAGGTTTTTATTTAAATTTAAATATAGTAAAATTTATTGTAAAAATTAAAAAATATTTATTTTATAAAACTTTTCTAATTTTTTAACTTTGTACATTTTTTTTTTTTTTTTTTTTTTTTTATAATTTAGCCGTACAAATATTTACAAGTTCCGTAATTTAAAATATTTAAAAATGGCAAGGACGAGAAGAAGACGGGGTTGTCTTATCACCAAGTCCCTTGTTTGTCTAGACATTTATATAAATACATGGTAACTAAAATGAAAATTAAAAAATTAAGAAAAAAGCAAAAAATTACAAAGAAGTTTATATAAAATGCCAAATAGTTTAATAGTTCAAAGTTTTGAAAGATATTTTTTCGATTTTATTTTTTGAAAGAAAAATTTAAAAGTTCATTCAGAAAAACAAAAATATCAAAAAACTAAAAAACATGAAAAAAGTAACCGTAAAATTTAATTTACAATCTGTTCTTATAAAGTTTAATATATTAATTCCTCAAAAACAAATTACAAAATATTAATATAAAAAATTAAAACTCAAAAAAGATTACTTTTTTTATTTTTCCTCTCTCTCTCTCTTATTTAAGAAAACTAATAAATTTATTTAAACTAATGAAATCTAAAAATGCTAAAAATCTTTATAAGTACTTTTTTTATAATATAACAGACTGTAATACCTATATAAAATTAAAGAATTTAGACCTTCCAGACAAATAAAGTATGCATTAGTAGATAGTTTTAATATATAATATTTTTATAGATAGATTTAAAAACAATTATCTGTTTGTTCATTATTTAAAAGTAATAGTTTTAGTTTTTGTTTAAACTGATCAAGAGTTTTAAGTGTTTTAATATCATTACTGATTATCTTATTCCATGCATTAGGTCCTCTAACAGTTATTGAAAACTTGGTGGAGTCGTATATAGTTTTGGGTTGAACAAAGTTGTTGTTAGAATATTTAGTTACGTATTTGTCTTGAATTTTATTAAATAATGGTTTGAAGATATTTGGTATTGAATTGTTATTAATTTTATACATAAAAATCAGAAGATGATATATATTTATTTGATACACATTTAGTATTTTTAGATTGTTAAACAATGGTCTTGAATGTGAGAGGCGGTGTGCATTTAATAATAATCTAGTTGCATGTTTTTGTTTGCTAAATAGCTTTTTTATCTTTGTTTTATTGGTGCTACACCAAGCAATGTTTGCATAATTAAGATAAGAATGTATAAATGAGTAATATATGTATTTCAAGCAGGATTGATCTAAGAATGGTTTTGCTTTATAGAGTAATCCAATATTTTTAGAAATTTTATTTTCAATCATGTTTATGTGGTCTTTCCAATTTATGTTTTCATCTAGAATTACACCTAAAAATTTCATCGAACATTCTCTTTTTACGATGTAATCTCCAATAATAAGTTTTGGAAGTTCAAGAGGAATTTTTTCTTTTTTATGGAGGCGATGAAAAATAGTATATTTAGTTTTAGTTAAATTAATTGAAAGTTTTTTCATATTTAACCATTCGGTTAGTTTTAGGAGTTCAATGTTGACCGTTTTAAATAATGCTGTTATATCACTATGAGAATAAAATAAATTTGTGTCATCAGCAAATAAGATAGAATCTAGAATATTAGAGGCTTTGCTTAAATCATTAATATAAATTAAAAATAAGAGTGGTCCTAATATAGATCCTTGAGGAACGCCGCAAGTAATTGTCATATTGTTAGTTTTTTTATTGCCGAATGAAATATACTGTTTTCTATAAGATAAGTAGCTTTTAAACCAAGCTATGTTAATATTTTTGATACCGTAGTTCTCTAATTTTTTAATTAAAATACTATGATCAACTGTGTCGAACGCCTTACTTAGATCTATGAAAACACCTAAAGTGAACTTGTTTTTATCAAAAGCTTGAAAAATAATCTGAACAAGATGAAGAATTGCATGATCAGTAGAGTGTCCTGTTTTGAAGCCAAATTGTTTGTTATATAGAATATTATTTTTTTCTAAATATGAATATAATTTGTTATACATAATACGTTCTAGTATTTTTGAGAAGCAAGGAAGAATGGAAATAGATCTATAATTAGAAATATTAGTATTATCTCCAGATTTAAAAACTGGTATTACCCTTGCAATTTTAAGTTTTTTTGGAAAGATTCCTTGTTTAAACGAAAGATTAAATGTATGCAAAAGGATTTTTTTAATATAGAAGATACATTTAATTATGACATCACTGCTAATGTTATCAACTCCTTGTGATTTGTTTAATTTTAATGAAAGAACAGCATCTAATAACTCTTTTTCGGTTAACTCCGCATTTTCCATTATTGATTTGCTAGGAGTCAAGTATTTCTCCTTGTTAAAATCACTGTGTTTTAGTTTGAATGCTAAATTTAGACCTGCGTTGACAAATACGTCATTAAACGTTTTAGCAATTAGAGATTCTTTTGTAATATCTTGATGATTGTAATTGAGCTTTTTTGGAAGACCATTTAACATAATTGTTTTTCTTCCAATTACTTCCTTAATGACTTGCCACGTTTTTTGAGTATCACCTTTGAATTTTATTATTTTATTTGAGTAGTATAACTTTTTTGAAAGTTTTATAATTGATTCAAAGTGACTTTTATATTTTTTATACCTTAGTTCATTTACATAGGTTCTTTTTTTCAGAAATACTTCATACAAACGTTGTTTTTTTTTAGACGATTTTTTTATTCCTGGTGTAATCCAGGAGTTTATAAATGTTTTAGTTTTAATAATTTTTGTTACCACCGGGAAAGCTTTATCATAATGATCTTTGAATATCCGAAGAAAACTGTTATAAGCAGTCTCTGCAGTTTGAATTTGTAAAATATCGTCCCAGTTTTCAGAAAATAAAGAATTATTAAAAAGTTCCATAGAAATGTCATTATATACTCGATTTGTAATTAATATTTTTTTGTGAGGGGTGTGTTCGACACTTTTATGTGCAATTATAAATATTGGGAAATGATCCGATATATCGGATATTATTATTCCAGTTTTTATTTTGTTTTTTGTATATTCATTAATTATTATTTGATCGATTGAAGTTGCGCTATTTCTAGTAATTCGTGTTGGTTTATTTATAGTTGGAATAAATCCATTTTGAAATATGATGTTCATAAAATTTTTAACATTTTTATTTGTGTCGTAATCAAGCACATTATAATTAAAATCTCCCACAAAGAAGACACGTTTGTCACATAAAACTTTGCTTTTAATTAATTTTTTAAAGTGTTTTTCAAAAAATTTATTATTGCCAGATGGCGGTCTGTACACGACATGTATAATGACGTTTTTTGTGACTTTATTTAAAATTTCGATCGTTAAAGATTCACAATCATTACTAATTACACTAAACTCGGTTAGCGGTTTAAAATTTAAAGAATTATGAATAAAAATACATACTCCTCCACCTATTGTCTCAGAGTTTCTGAGTTGATGAATAACTGTATAGTTTTTTAGTTGATAATTTGAATCTTTTTCAATTTGTTTATCTCGACACCAGGTCTCTGTGAGACAAATAATTTAAAAATTAATTTCAAGACCAAATAAAAAATCTTTAAATTTATCAAAATTTTTACGAAAGCTCCTAATATTTAGGTGTAAAATAGAGAATGCATTAATATCCAAATTTGCAGTAACATTAGAAATATCAGAATTATAATAAGAAGGACATATATTTTTAATGATTTCATCAGTGTTAAAAAAATTAACATCTGGATCTGAATTATTCTCTAAAAGTATATTTTTATTTGTTTGGAAAGCCTTAAAGCTTAAATCATGAAATTTTATATCTTCCATAACAACACGAAAGGTTATACTAACAAAATATATAGAGTATAAAATAATTAAAGGTTTGAAGGTAATTTCCTGAATTCTTTTACTATTAATTTATCGTAAATTACAACCGAAAACATACCATTTTTCCTATGTATCTTCATTTGCTCGAATAGTTTTTTCCTGATAGATGCAGTTTCCAAAGAATAATCCTCGTTGATATATATTCCCGATCCTTTTAGTTTACTCGCACTTTTTAAAACTTGTACTTTGTCTTTGTAATTTAACAGTTTCATTACTATTGATCTTGGTCTACCTGCTTCAATTTTTCCTGACCTGTGCGCCCGTTCAATAACAATTCCTTTTAAATTAAGTTTTTCTTCAAAAATATTTAGTACCTTTAGTTCGGTTTCATCCCAATTTTCTTTTTCATTTTCCGATAATCCCTCTATTCTAAGATTATTCCTTCTTTGTCTATCTTCAATCTATCTTCTATCTACATACGTTAGATTTCCATAAGGGTAGTTGAGGATAAAGTCAAGTTAAGCAATTAAAATATCTCAAAAACTACGCATTGCGTGATAAAACATAAAACAACGCGTAACAAAACGTTGTTGGACGGCAGTCGAGTAAGTTGCACTGGCACCAAGAGGCAGATCCAGCATTTTTAGTCTTTGAGCTAACTTGCAGACATGAAGCACACTCGATACTTTTGTAAGTTTATACTACTGTCAAATAAAGTTGCTTCTTAAAGCAAAAATTTTTTTTTTTTTTTCCCAGGCTCCATTCATCGCAATTTTTTGCAAAGCATCCTTATTTGACACAAGTATAAACTTTCGGGATTTTCTCCATTTCTGGAAGTTAGCCATCTCAAAGATCAAAAAATGTTAGATCCGCCTCTGTTGGCACCGTCCCTATTTTGAAACAAAAAAGTGAAAAAAAACTTACTATTTTCTTTTCAGATGCTTATAAATAATTTTTTATCTGCTATCACTTTGATGTTGATATTTTACCAATTTATCGAACTTTAGATCATAACCAGCCGTTTTTTCCTTACTGCTCTTTTTAT